ATCAATGGGGCTGAGGAGATAGCTTGGCAATCTAAGTGCCTGCCTGGCAAGCACAAGTTCGATCCTGGGTACCGCACACCGTGCCAGTTACGGAGCCCTGGGTGTGCCATGTGAGCCACTAAAACTGGGTCTGTGGCATACACCTATAATTGCAGCTATGGGGAGGCTGAGACAGGAGGATCACTATGAGTCAGAGATGTGTAGCAAGACCCTGTATCAAATAAATAAAAGACTAAAAAATAAACATGTTAACAGAAAAAAGGAAAAAAATTGCTTATCTCCTTCTACCATTATTTATTACATAATTTACATGAATTACCAGAATATATTCTATAAAGATACACAATTATCTCAATAAAAAAATAAAATTATATGATTATACTCAATATCTAACGCATTCAACAAAATTCAATATAGCTGAGCATGGTGATGTCCAGCAGAGTAATTTAAAATGGTGTGAGTAGGGACGGGGAGACAGCTCAGTGGCATAAGTACCTCCCTGGCAAGCACAAGGTTCTGAGTTTGATCCCTAATACCAAAAAAAAAAAAAAAAAAAAAAAAAAAAAAGAAAGAAAGAAAGAAAGAAAAATACTAAATGAATAATAAGTAATTTTAAAAATACTGTGAGTCTGGACAGAAAAGAAGTGTCAATAAAGCTGTAGACTGCAAAGATAAAGCAGAGGACAGCTTGGTTGCCGAGGAAGAAAAGGATAATAGAAAGGATAGCCTGAAAACATCCCAAAAATTAACAGGACCCCATCCTGTGCAGTCTCAAAATTGCAAAGGTAACTTTGTTTTGAGAAGAGAGCCCCAACGCATTAAGTTCCAGAATGGCAGCAGCATAAGAGTAGGGATTAGGTTCAGAATGCTTGGCAATGCAGGTAGGTAATCAACTCCTACAGCTAAAAGAGGAGGAAGCCCTAGGCACTGCTCCAACTGCAGCAGACCTTTGTATCATTCATGTGGTACTACACAGAATGCGAGAGCCAGGGGCCCTGGAAGAATTCTATCCAGATTTCAGAAGGTCTGGAAGGCCAGGCAGTGTGCCCCTTAAGAGGGCAGTATATGAAGCTGTGAGCGTGAAGCCAAAAGCACAACAGAGACTTCAGAAGTTTGGAGAAGCCAGGAATGTGAATCATCTAAGGAAAACTGCAAGCAGGGAGCAGAGTCAGCTGAAGAAAAAGCCATGGGAGTTGCAACCACTGGCAATATCACAGAAGTGGAACGATCCAAGTACACTGAACATTACATCTTGCCACAGGTTACCCTAAATGCTGGACATGGAACTATGGGACTAAATGTTTGCCTTGCTGAATTTTGGTCTTGCTTTGGCTTTGGTCCCATTCCTTTCTATCCTCCACTCTGGACCTTTCAGAATGGAAATATCTATCCTGTGCTCTTGTATGTTGGAAATATTTAATTTTCTTTTAGTTTGTACAAAGGTTCACAGATAAAGAGTTTGCCTTAAATCTCAGAAGAGACTTTAAATTTGGACTTTTCAGCAATGGCAAAACTGTTCAGACTATGACAATTCTTGGGAGACAGACTGAATTGCACTAAGCATAAAGATATGTGCTTACATCTTTTGGGTTTGTACCTAGATGCTCCCTCAAAGCTTCATGTAGCCATAGATGGAGCTATTCAGAAGGAGCTAAATCTAGAGTATGTGATGCTGGGATTAAAGATGGGATAATAGTACTGATTCATGGTATAATGCTAGGATTCATGGTACCCCACTGTGGGTGTGAATGTTACCAGTCCTAAGGCCAGGTAGCCTGGATTGAATATAAGGGACAGAAAAAGGGCTGCTGTTACTGCTTGCTGCTTTTTACTACTCTCCTGCTTTGGTGCTTTTTGCCTGCCATAGATGGTTTCTCCTTGCAACACCCCTCTGCCATGCCAAGCTGCCTAGAGCCAGCCAATTATGGACTGAAACCTCTACAAACTATGAGCCCCAATAAACCTTAGCAACAAGAAAAGACAGACTTATGTACAAAAATCAACTCAAATAAAGACTTAACACCTGAAAATATAGAACTAGAAGGAAATATAGGGAAAAAGCTTCATGACAGGGGGACAACCCACTCGGGCCCCCCTCCTGTCCCTCTCTTGAATAGGAGCTTCCTTTCCCTCAATAAATATATTCTGCTCATAAAAAAAAAAAAAGCTTCATGACAAAGGTATGAAGAGTGAATTTTTTGATGCACCACAAAAAGCACAAGGAACAAAAGCGTAAGTAGATAAGTGGGACTACATTAAACTAAAAAGTCTATGGGTGACAAAGAAAACAAGGAATGCTGTGTAGAAGAACCTATGGAATGAGAGAACAATGGCAAGCCATATATATAAAACTAATAAAATACAGGAGAAAACCCCACAACATCCCGATAATGAAATATATAATTCAATTTTTTAAAAATAGGCAAAGAATTTGAACAGCTTTTCTCCAAATAAAGCATACACATAGATGGTACGTGCATATAAAGATGTATAAAGTATATAGAGATAATACATGAAAAAAAATGAAAATCATTCATCAGCAGGGAAATGGAAATCAAAACCATAATGACATCAATTCACATCTGCTGTTAAATTGTTAATATCTAAAAAAAAAACAAAACAGAAAAGAACAAATGTTAAGAATGTGGAAAAAGGGGCCAGGGAGATAGCTCAGTAGAATAAGCACTTGCCTGGCAAGCCCAAGGACCTGAGTTCAATCCCCGGTTCCGCAAAAAAAAAAAAAAAAAAAAAAAAAAAAATGGAGAAAATAAAACTCCTGTATAGTGTTGCAGGGATGTAAACAGAGCCATTATGGAAAAGAGTATGTAGGTTCCTCAACAAAAAGAGACCGACCAAATGATTTAACAATTCTCCTTATGGGCATTTGTCCATAAGAACTGATAGCAGAAATCTTGAAGAAATATTTACATTCTCATGTTCACCGCAGTGCATTGTTCTCAGTAGGCAAGGAAAAGAAAACAACCTAAAAATCTATTAACAGGTGAAAAAAATGTGTATAAAGTCCATGAAAAATGTATATACATTTCAAAAAAAGACAAACTAGCATGATGTTTTTCAATAAATGGGTCCTCCTCATATGGTGGATGTTATAAATTGCAGAAAACACACTGTACTGCCTGCCCAGAGAGAAGACACTGAAAAATGCACATGCAGCAATCTCAACGACCAAGTTTATCCAAACACAGTTTGCTGTACTAATAAATTTCTAGAAGCTTATGACCATCACTCTGATCATCTCGTGTTGTAGAGAACAAAGGTAACTTGTATTAATCTCATGATGTCTTGATAAATTTAGTGTTAAATAGTTCTGCAAGTTTTTCTTTTCCTGGAATGGGTAAAAACAAACATTTTTTAGGGCCAGCTGAAAAGCTCAGTGGATTAAAGCACCTGCAAGCAGGCGTAGGGGCCAGGGGTTTGATCCCCTGGGCCTGTAATGTTGGCCCCACCCCCAGGGCATACTGAGACAGCAATTGAGACTGGACGGAGTGGTGCCGCCTGTAATCCCAGCTCTTGGGAGGCTGTAAATAGGCAGATCACTAGAGTCTGATCTAGTAGTAAGACCCTGAACACCCTGTAGACCCTTCCCTAAAATACTAAAAAAAAATTTAAAAATAAACATTTTTTTGGCAGACTCTGTATACATGATAGAATATTACCCAGTCTCAAAAAAGAAAATACTGTCCTATGCTATTATGTGAGTAAACTTTGATGACATTTGCTAAGTGAAATAAACTGGTCACAGAAGGAGAAATACTACATGATTCTATTATAGGGTATCTAGCATTAAGCTGATAGAAGAAAAGTAGACTGGTAGTTACTAAAGTTTGAGGGAGAGGTAAATGGGAAGGTACTATGCAACAGATAAAAGGTTTCAATCATGAAAATGGAAAAATTCTAAGGATCTGAGGTGCAAGAATGCATAGTTAACAATACTGAACAGTACATTTAAAACTATAACAAGGCATATTTCATTAGCTTTTTATAATCTTAAGAGGGGGCATGCTGGTTGCATGGCATGATTTATTCAGACTGAATTCATGCCAGATGGCTCCTAAGAATCAACATCTCTATTTGTAAGTATCATTGGTTTCTGTGGAATTATCTTTATGAAACTGCAGTAACATAAAGCTTTCCAGTATGTCCAAATTTTCCTTCCACCTTTTTAGAAAACACAATTACATTTACCCATCTTCAATCCGGTAATACCTTTTTCATTTATTTATAGCAGTGTAGAAGATTCATCTGCAAATTCTTTTACTACTGAGATAAAATAATCTCAGAAGATTTAAAACAACTAGTTAAAATAACTGATTAGATGCAGTGGTGGCAAACCTATAGCTGTGTATCACAGAGCTAGCTGTTTGTATCACTGAAAGTGCTAAAAGGTTCACCATCACTAGGCTAGAGATGTAATTATTTTATTTTTGTGCTGAGGAGGGGGTTAAGAAGGACTGACTCCAAATGAGCTACATCCCTATCTCTTTTAAAAGTTTATTTTGAAATGGGGTCTTGCCAAGTCATTAAATTGTCCAAGCTAGGCTCAAACTTGTAATTCTGTCTCCCAGAGTTCTGGGACTATTGACATGTACTATCCTGTCTGGCTCTATCTCAATTTCCTTCTCACCAATTTTTTTTTTTTTTTTTCCAATGTCAAGGAGTATTCTCAAACTGCTGAGCTCCAAATGATTCTCCTGCCTTAGACTTTAAAATGGAACTACAGGTGTGAGCTACCATGCCCAGCTCACCAATGGCTTTTTAACTTTCAAAACAGTATGTATCCACTCAGGCAGAATGGTATAAATCATATTAAAACAAAAAATGTTGGGCAATTTCACTTTCTCTTATCTTCATGTACTCACATTACACCAAAACGTAAGCTGAGCTTTTAACAGTACAATTAATCAAATGCATGATTTTGATAAGTAGCAATGACTTATATAAATTAATATAGCTATTAAAATTCTAATTTCACTGCTTACTTTTAAATATGCAGCTGCCTCTTGAACAGAAAGTGTTCTTTGACTAGAACTGCCACATTCATGATCTCCTAGAAAAATTAGCATATTGTTTTGAATCAGTAGTGTTAAAACAGAAAAAAACGTAATTAATTCAAAATGGTTTACTAAGTATACAAGTATAAGTTATGCTGTTAAAATCAGTGAAGAAAGATGACCCATATTGTTCATATTTTCGATAGAAAATTCCAGTAATTAATATAAACAAACAACTACCCTTATAGAAACCACAATCTTTAAATGCACGTTAGCGTAGATAAAAACATATTTTCTTCTTTTGTTCCCAACTAAATTGTAAACCTGTCTTGAAAAACCATAGTTTAGTATATAAGAGGGTCCTCTCTCAATCTGTATTATTCCCTGGGGAAAACAATCCAGATAATTCACTGTACTAATTCAAACATCTATTCTTAAAGATAATTTAGAGATTCAATTAAGGTTGAATTCATCATTGTACCAAAACATGTGCATTTTCATAGTATTACTAAGACCATCTTTAAGAAGAGGTTGGCACACCTGAAAAATTATAAAACAGACTAACAGGAAAACATGCAAGTTTCTACCTATGATTTGATTTCTACAAAAGGATGTATTACAAAAGTTTTGAGAAACCTTTCTTGTAACTATTTTAAGAAGAGAATTCAAGGGCCAGTCAGATAGCTCAATGGATTAAAGGGCCTACTTAGGCAGAGGCAGGGGCCAGGGGTTTGTCCCAGCCGGCCATGCTGGCCCTGCCCCCAAGGCATGCTGAGACTGGCCTGTAATCCCAGCACTTGGGAGGCTGAAAAACAGGTACAAGTGCGATCTGTGTAGTGAGAGCCTGTAGACCCTGCACTAAATACGTAAAAGAAAAAGAATTCAGGGGCTGGGGAGATGGCTCTGTAGAATAAGAGCTTCCCTGGCAAGCGCAAGGACCTGAGTTCAATCCCCAGTTCCACAAAAAAAAAAAAAAAAAAAAAAAAAACCCAAGAAAAAGAATTCAAAATTTTTCTTAAAGCTAACTTGGTTATAAGAGCTAAAATATCCTTATATTGAGCCTCAATTGTAAGTTTTCATTATATATTGTAAGTTTCCCTGTTTTTTTCAAGCAGTTAAAAATTATAAACATATTAGTACAATAATTAAAATAAAATCCCTGGGAAATGTTTCTATAACAAAAGAACTGTGTTCATATTTACAAAGTAATCAGATTTTAATGGCAATATTTACAAGGAAGGAAGAAATACATATTGGATAAATAAGCCTTCAAGCTTTATAATGCATTCTCAGAGATGAATTCCATATACTTAGAGGTTACCAAATCTCAGCCCAAGGTCAAATCTGTCCTGCTGTTTGCTTTTATAAATGAAATTTAATTGAAATGTAACCAAGTAAATTCATTCAGTATTTATGGTTAGTTTCATGCTGTAACAGTAGAATGGAACAGTTTTGAGAGGCTATCTAGCCTACAAAACTTAAAATAGCATGAGATCTTCCACAGAAAAAATTCAAGTCCTACTGTAGAAGGAATCTGTGCATTTAAATGGAACCCCTTTAAATGGATTGTGTTCTCTAATGGGCCACAAACATGAATATATTTAAACTATTTCTGGATACAAAAATATACCAAATAATTAGCTGGCAGTACATGAATATGTCAACCAGTGAGCCAATGCAAAGAAGGCATTTAATGATACGTATCAAATTATAAGGCTAAAGTTGAATTATGGACCCAAACTAAGAAAACAAAAATAGGTAAGAGGCTGAGTATCTGTAAGGATCTTCAATAGTGCCATTCCACCACAGAAATTCCACATTTTTCTACTAGGCTCCTACCAATGACTTGTTTTCCTCATAAGGGTTTGCCACATTAAAAAGCTTGAAAACTGTCATTTTATTTCATATAACTGAGAAGAAAATCTAAAGTCTTCTGTCAGATTATATGTAAAGTAAGAATATCTTTAAAACCTAAAGAGTTAACATGCTTATACTCAGCTTAAAGAGGCTAAAACTGATTATCAATTTATATCTAACAAATTACTCTCACTGCAGATATATTCAGACTGAGAACTCTCAAAGATTTATTGGGGCAGAATAGCAGGAAAACTCAATAAATCTGGAGAGAATATTCTAAGACCATATATTTACTCTGTCCAATGGAAGACTTTATACAACCACAAAAAAAGAATCTGTAATTTTATATTTAGTCCAAGATTTCAATTAACTCACTGCTTACTCAATTCAACTGATACTCAAATTTTTGGGATTTTTGTTACTATTAATGGAATCAGGAAATTAGTTTGACTTAAAAATATGGAATAAAATATGTACATGACAGATGGGAAAAAGACCTTCTAATCAATATATCTGTACGTATTTAAAAAAATACTCAGTAGTAGTAAAAATGTGTAAATATATTCCACAAAAATAACAAAACAATGAGAAAGACATTTCTATTGACAACACATTATGTATACAAGTTAATTTAGAAACTATAAATGTTAAGATAATTACCTGCAAGCTGTGCCAATCGATCATGAAGTTTATATAATGTGCTCATCATAAGGTTCTTCTCACTTTCCTAAAATTAAAAATATTATTATGAAATATCCAATTGTAAGAAAAGATGTGCCAAAAATTCTTATTCAAAAATTAAAATAGAAGTGAATTTAAAATCATTGAGGCTACACAATTTGAAACATTCTTAAACAATGGCCACCATGTATTAATAATTTTAATGTAAGCTTTAAGTTATTATTCTAAGTATTTTATTTCTTAAAAATGATTAAAAAGCACTAAGATTAGTGCTAATAGAAAAGGTCCCATATGGGCCGGGGAGATGGCTCAGTAGAATAAGTGCTTCCCTGGTAAGCACAAGAGCTTGAGTTCAATCCCTGGTTCCGCAAAAAAATAAAGAAAGAAAAGGTCCCATATACAATAAACTACCGAAACAGCAAAGAATTCCAATCTCCCTCCATACCTCAGGCACAGGGGCCAGGGGTTCGATCCCCCAGTGCCAGCCCTGCCCCCAGGGCAAACTGAGAGAGCAACTGAGACTTGAGCTTGAGACTGGGCACAGTGGTACATGCCTGTAATCCCAGCTCTTGGGAGGCTGTAAACAGGCAGATAACTATGAGTCTGATCTAGTAGCGAGACCCTAAACACCCTGTAGACCCTTCCCTAAAATACAAAAAAAAAAAAAAAAAAAAAAAGAAAGAAAAAAAAGATTTTTGAGATAGCTCATGGTCTAAAGCACCTGCTTAGGCAACCTTAGGTAAGCACACAGGGACCGCGGTTCTATCCCTAGCACCATGTGTTGTGCCAGCCCCGCCCCCAGGGTGGGCTGAGCTGGCCACAAAAATAAATAAATAAAAATAAATAAAGCTTTTCTTTAAGGTTGCCCTTCATCTTCTGTTTTAATCTGACTCAACCACACAAAACTAAAAGAATGAGTATTAGCACCTAGCACTCAGCTTCCAGGAAGAGCCTGTTTAATCTTATGAACTACTAAAGAGTTCTAGCTCTGCACTGGAGCACCGAAAGAATACAATACTATTTAAAGAAACAAACAAAAAAAATTAATACTGAATCATGCTCTTACTTTATGAAAAAATTTAATTAAACACTAAAGGGAAGCAAACATTCAGTGAAAAAAAGAAATTGGAGTTAGGATTTGTTCTGTCAGCAAAGTGAGAGATCCACTGGGTAATATTTCTTTTCTCAATGACAAAATAAAATTGTTCTACGCAGTTACAAAGTGCAATGTAAATACAGGAGGAGATAAGAGAAGACCCCTTTGTGGAATACAGAATTTTTGACCTCAGTTTCACAAGTAGAATAAAACTAACCAGCATTTAAGGCAGAAGGAACAGCATGAGCAAAGGCATTACAGCATGAAAGCATTGGGCATAATTCTTATGTAACTTATGCCTCACTTGACCTAGCAAACTACTAGAAAAGCTGCTTCCAGAAAGAGCCCTAGATAACAAGACAAAGACAAAGACTTCATTTAGAAAATCTGAGGAAAGCAAACCAGACTTGTATGCATGAGGAAGACTGCCCTGATCAGAATGTGTAAGATCACTCACAAGCACAAATGATGGTGAGAAAAGACTGTTTCAATGGTATTTAATAAGCACTGTACCAATAATCTAAAACAGTATTTCCAATTTAAAATTAACTTTAAAATGGATCGATAGATAGATAGATAAATAAATAAATAAATAAATAAATAAATAAATAAATAAATGGATCGATATAAGCCATGAGAAGGCTCAGTGCATGCAGCGGCCGGGGTTTCATCCCCACCCCTAGGGTGCACTGAGACTGCAATTGAGACTGGGCGTGCTGGCACGAGTCTATAATGCCAGCACTTTAGAAGCTATAAACAGAAGAATCACCATGAGTCTGATTTACATAGTGAGACACTGAACACCCTGTAGACCCTTCCCTAAATACAGAAGAAAAAAAACATATAGATACATATATACGTGCCATGAGGAAGTTTAAGAGGAGAAGGGGTAACAGGTTTCACACTATCTGAAATAAATTTCTGACTTATGGGGGGGTTGTATCATTATCAACAAAACAGGATTTCTTAATGTATATGACTATAGAACAAATTCAGGTAAGATATAAAAGTTTGCGCAGTAATACTTTTATCTCTAATGACATACCTCATCCATTTGTTTTTATGGTATATATTCAAGACAAAACAAGTTTAAACACTATACACAGAATGCTTTTGTCAATGCAGCTTTTGTCACTGACACCAGAAGAACAATATTCATTAAAGATTTCAAGATCTTACCATCAGCCTCTGCTGTTAAGTCGCTGGGTCAACAGAGACAAGGTATGTACTCCTTCAGCTGACTACTGGTCTACCAACTCTTTCACTGCTTTTCTCTACCTCAAATCTAGCTCCACAAGATTTTCTTTTTTAAATTTTTTTTTTTTTATTTATTTGAGAGAGAGAGAGAGAGAGAGAGAGAGAGAGAGAGAGAGAGAGAGAGAGAGAGGGGTGTGTGTGTGGCCAGCTCAGCCCACCAGGGGGCGCGACTGGCTGGCATGTGGTGCTGGGGGATTGAACCGCGGTCCCTGATGCTTTGCGAAGCTTGTTCTAAGTAGGTGCTTTAGACCACTGAGCCATCTCTCCAGCCCACCACAAGATTTTCTATCAAGCCAATACTTACCTCCACATAATAGATTCAAATTCCAAGCTGCAAGAATCAGGCACCAAAAAGTGAAAGTACAGGCTGATACTCAAGCTATTTATCTGTGATATAAAAAACTACAAAATAATTTTCAGTAAAAATCTTCACTATAATAAAGAATTCCAAAGACAATGCAGCTTAGGGACCTGATAAAAAACCAAGGTGAAACTGATTAAACTATGCAATTACCTAGTGGGCTGCTTATCTGGAAAAGACACCATTCTTTTGTTTCTCTGTTCATTTTGTATGCCCTAATCAAATCTTATTCCCTTTCAAAAAAAAAACAAAATTTGAACATTTGGTGCATGTCCTCTGTGATTATGTTTTTAATGAAGAGATTTGAGAATAAACTCTTGACTCATAGAGAATAACACCAGACAGAAGAAATACAAAAAATCTAAGCAGACAATTGAATTTCATACTGGACAACATACATGGTGTGTGTTACATTATTATATAGAGAATTTAATACTCAAAAGCTCAACTTTTGAGTAATTTCTTCAAAAAACTTTTTCTATTAAAAACTTAGTCATGGCAAGTCAGATAGCTTGGCAGACTAAAGTGTCTGCTTACGAAGAGTGCGCTGGGCGATGTTCAATCCCAGGGCACCCTGAGAGGGCACCTGAGACTGGGTGTGATGGCACATACCTGTAATCCCAGCGCTGGGGAGAATGAAAATAGGAGAATCACTATGAGTCCAATCTATGTAGTGAGACCATGCAGACCCTATACTAAATACATTTTAAAAAAATAAAATAAAATAAAAAACCTTAGTCATACTGACTACATACAAAGGTCTCAAGTGCCATGCAAATGACCAACTAAATTATGATCTAAATAAGGTGTTTAAAATGCATGGAAGATAGGCCACTTAAATCTTACTTGACATTGGCTTTACATTAGTGATGTAGTTTAGATCCTAAGGGAAAATCTTTGCCAGACATAATTATACAGCTAAGAAAAAATCAGAAAAATATTATTTCAGACTAAAAGAACCTCTAAAATTATTTTTCTAGTTGATAGTTATCTGAATACTTTTATAAAACATTACACAAAATATCAGTATTATCATTTTTTTACTTACTTGTATTTTTCCAAATGTTTCATCAAATGGGTTTTTTACTATCAAGGAAAAGAAAAACAGAAAACTATTAGTGTCACTTAAGAAGAATTTAAGTACTCCTAAACAACTACCCTGAAATATCAGAATGTACTTTGCTAAAACTAAATGAAATATGTAAACAAAATGTAAATACACTGATAATAAATAAAAGTTGGAGAACTTTTCAGACAATATACTGACCAATTCTCACTCACAATTTGTAGTTTTCTTCAGGACTATTCTCACAAGTGTTCTGATGTTAGGCACTGAATACAAATCCCAGATCCTCTATTTATTACCATCATATCTCCTTAAAGTAACATCTACCTATACACTTTAGGTTGTAATCTCTTCTATAAAAAAGAGAGGTAACAATTACACCTACCTTGTGTAGTTGTCAAAATTAAATGAAATAATCCATCATTTTTATTATTATAGTTAATGACTATATTACATTTCTGCCTTATCAAAATACAAACTAAATGTAGCTAATAACTATTCAACTACAACACATTTTAAAACTGAGTAATTCATTTAGAAGTCGGGTTTCCAATGATTAAAAAAACCTTATTAATCTGTGTTAGTATATGGAAAAGCTGCAAGAAAGAAGATCAAAGTAGCTAAGAATTAGGTCTCATGTTAGACAACCCTGAATTTCCAATAAAACATTCAACTATATAATAGGGAAGGATTCAATATTTCCCACACAATCTTTTCACCCCCACTGTCCCAAGAAAGATAAACAGGGTTAAGACTGAACACCATAACATTTCTCACAATTATTCAGATCGTTCTCTAACATCTTTTAATATTATATGACAAAATATTCAAAGCTCTCAGATACCTAAAACACATATATTTTATATACATCATGTATTTGTATAATCCAGGTCACAACTAAAACTAACTTCTCTTACAAAGTAGTTCACACTGACCAGGTTTCCTTTCTGAGATGTTTTTCTATTTTTACTTGAGAAAACAGGAAGCTCCATAGGAACCAGGAACTGCCTCATTCTAAGAAAGTGCACATGAGAGATCAGTTTAACAAGGTACAATACAATGGCAAGGAAAGAAAAATATATCCTGTAATCATCAAAAGAGATTTGGTAATGGGTTTTCAGGTATTTGTTTGTACAACAAGTTTTAATTCTTGGGAAATTTTTTTTTTGAAAGAAAATTAAAGGTTCTCAAAAGAGTAAGGAATACTCTTAATAATTAGCTTAATAATTTTTAAAAATGTTAAAATCAGGACACACAGACTAAAAAGATAATTTCAGTAACACTAATTTTTCATGTAAAAATTGAACAATCTAAAATAAAAGTGTATTCTACAATCTGAGGTACAGGATCTCA